AAAGTAGACAATACCTCATGCCTAACACATTTTCAGCATGCAATAATAAATCAATAATTAAATGTAAGAAATCTGATAGGAGAACACAACTTGAAAGATTTGAATTTCTAGTGTGAAAAGGAAGCACAAGAATAGCTGAAAAAGACAGATATTGATAAAACCAAAGTTCCTTCAAAGTACAAAGTACAGAGACTTAATCATCATAGACTATATCTTTCAGTATCATTATTCTAGACATGAAGCTCTATGCCCATGTTCCTTTCGCTTTTTCTTCTTCCTTTATCTGCTTGTCTTCTCTTTTCTTTCTGCCTCCATCTATCCTTGGTAGTACATATGAGCTTGCTCAAATGGTAATCACTGAAGCTTTTATTGTACACAATATGTCTGAAAAAGCCCACTTGTGAGACCATGGAAGTACAGTTGAGAAGCAACAGGGTCTTGTTTACAGTATCTAGCATCTTAAAATTTTAATCTCAAAGCTCCTAATTAAATAAATTTTTGTTTGGTCTTTCTAGTCTCCAAACAATTCAGCTCCCTTGAAGATCAAAGAATAAAGCATAGTGAAAGAATTTCAGTCAGTTCTGTATTTATTGAGGTAACCTGAATAGAGATAAATTTATTTCCTCAAAGGAGAAACTTCTCTTTAATTTGCTTTCATAGTGACAGGGTTTACTCTAACCAATGTGTGATTTCTTCATGAAAACCAACCCAAAGAAAAATTATTCTGTGGTACAATTTTGAAATACAACTAGAGATTTATGGATGATTATATGGCCAAAATATATGTAGAAACAGAAGTCTTACATTTTATTTTTTCAATTTTAAGATTTATAATTTAAATTGTCTAATAAAATTGTGTGTGTTTTTATGTACGATATATGTTTGGAAGTCTAACAAATTTGAAATCAGTAAGTCAGCAAAAATTATGTTATGCTATACTTCACCTAGGTATTATTTTTAAAAAATTAATTTTATTGGTATATTTTAGGTATACAATATAATGACATTCATCA